TTCACTCTGTACACCTCAGATTTCCAGTACCAAACAGACTCCTGTCATCTGCAGAAATATTCTGATGACTCTGCAGTGGTCGGGTGTATCAGAGATGGACAAGAAGCTGAGTACAGGGAACTGGTGGACCTCTTTGTGGCATGGTGTGGAAACAATCATCTCATCTTGAATGTGAACAAAACAAATGATTGAGAACAAATGATTGTAGCTTTCAGGAGAAACAGGAACAGGTCCAACCCTATTTCCATCATGGGAGAAGAAGTGGAGGTGGTGGAGAAGTATAAAAACCTTGGGGTTCACCTGGACAACAGACTGGACTGGAAATGCAACAGTGAAGCGTCTACAAGAAGGGACAGAGCAGACTGTACTTCTTGAGGAAGCTGAAGTCCTTCAATGTTTGCAGCAAGATGCTGCATATCTTCTATAAGTCTGTTGTAGAGAGCGCCGTCTCTTCTGCCATCATCTGCTGGGGGAGCAGCACCAGAGCAAGAGACTTAAAAAAGATCAACAAGCTCATAAAGAAGGCTGGCTCAGTTCTGGGGACTCCTCTAGAACCTTTGGAGATGATTGTTCAAAAGGATTCTTAATAAAATGAAGAACATTGTAGACAACCCTCAGCATCCTCTTCATCAGACTGTCATACAACGTCAGACTGTCATGCAACATCAGACTGTCATGTAACGTCAGACTGTCATACAACATCAGACTGTCATACAACAACAGAGTGTCTTCAGTCAGAGGCTTCTTCAGATCTGCTGTAAGACAGACGCTACAGGAGATCCTTCCTGGCCACAGCATCAGCATCTAGAACAACTCTAATGAAACCAGGATGAAGAGTTACAACAACATCTGGGATTAATAAAGTAGTTTTGAATTTAATTGAATAAAGAAAGCACCCGGACACGTGGCTTCTATAAAAAATTAGACGCCTTTTTATTGTGTTATATAAAATAAATAGAAAAAAAGAAACGCTGACACCAGGAAAGGGTCGGAGCGGGAAAAGGTTGGAGGCTTTGCAAGGGGACGGGTCAGGAGACATAAAAACGGGGACAACAGGAGGACGTCAGGAGGACCGTTGGTCAGAGTCTGAGGTGATCTGTCCAACAGACATGGAACAGATGAAAACAGTCACCTTCCTCCTCCTCCTCCTCCTCCTCCTCCTTCAAAGTGGACTTTCAGTTCTACAAACACTCGTTATTCTGGAGGCAGATGAAGCTCATTGGTTGAGTTAAACCAAAGTGGGAGGTGCTTCAGGTTTAAACATGATTAGCATCATCTTTGTTGTACTGAGCGGGTGAAGAAGTGTGTTTACATTCAGGACCCCCCGCTGTGAGGGGTCCAGCAGACCTTCTGATGACTGAGTCGGTGTTTGCTCTGATTGCTTTGGAAGCAGAGGACAAAGAAACGACTGAAACCAGACAAACTTTCATAAAGTCCTTCAAAAAGCTCTCGAGACATTGGAGATACCATCCTGGTGGTGTCCTGGTCCTCCAGGGCCTCTGTCCTGCGTGTTTAGTGGTTTCTTTGCTCCAACACACTTGAATCCAAGTCTCCAGCATGTTCTTCTGTTCTGCAGGAGCCCATGGACCTGTCATCACATCAGGTGTGTCGAAGCAGAGAAACGAGTCCAACATGCAGGGTGCTGGCCCTCGAGGACCAGGACACAGACCAACTAGTCTCCAACGGACGTGACCTGATGCTGAGTGACGAGTACTAACGACGGACTGGATAATGACCTGCCTGCCACAACCAGTAAAACTGTGTCTGGATCCACCACCATCCAGCATCATCCTGTGGAAACACTGAGCCTTGTCCCCAGTCCCAGTCCTCCTCTGAGAGAATAAAACCACAACAGTCGCTCTGAAGAAGGTCCGTGTTTGTGGACCTGGAGCCCACTGGTTCCTAATGTCCATCCCAACACACTCCACCAAGACCCTACAGAGACCATCCCTGTCCATGGCGGTGCACTGTGGTGGGGTCATCTTCCAGAGTGAGGAGGTCTTTAGGAGAGATGTTTCCATAAAGAAACTGTTTGGATTCATCGGCTGAATATTTTCTTTACACTCAAAGAAGTGATGGTTTTATTTATGACTGATTGTTGCAGCGTGTCCTCAGTACTGAACTGATTAAAGTATATTTTACTCTGTAGTTGCACTTAACTCTACACCTCCACCACAGGATCTGCAGCAGCTCTCTGATGCTGAGTCTGTCGTTAAACCAGCAGCCATGGGCTGCTCTGAAACCTAAACTCAGCGTCCACAGCTTGGGTTTGGGTCGCGGGTCTGAATGTAAACAGTTTTGTCTTTGTGCTTTCTGGGGTCTGAAGAGCTCCACGTGACGGGAACTCCTCACGTCATGTTGCATAAGAAGGTGCCAAACTGTAGCAGCTGGTCTTCATGGAGTCACCTGACAGCTTATATGAAGAAAATTAACACTTTGTCACATTTATTTAGAGGTTCCAAAGGGACGGGCTGTACCTGCTAAAATTATTTAAACTGGTTTTTGCAGCTGTATCTTTGGAAATGATGGAAAAAATGTCTGCAAACAGAAAAATGACCAGTGAGAGTCAACATGTGACGTTAAGATGGTTCCTCTGAAAGCGTCTGCACATTAGCCCCTTTAACCCCTTTACTGATCAGTGACCACAGCTGATCCAATCAGCTCCAAAACAATCAGAGCAAACTAAAGAGAAACTCCTGGTAATCTACTTTAATCCATAAATCCAGACGAAACTGACATTTGTAAAACTTTTAAAACTAAACGATCCAAAATACTGGATTTATTTAGAATATTCCCAAACATAGCTGCAATTCTCTTTAATCAGATGGTAACTGAGCAGACCCTTTGATAACTATGATGGTTTTTTTTGGAGGTGGGTGTAACCTGAACAGATTCAACCTAGGTATAGTTTAAGATATAGAGTGTACAGAAAGATAAAACTGTCCTGGGTCAAACTTTAGGACTGGCATCTCTGCAGAGTATAAATAAGCCTAGGCCCATCTAACTCCAGATATAATCTGGCCTGATGGTATGAATTGGCCTAGGCCAGGGCTGTTCAACTGAATTGCTCCTGGGTCCACAGTTATTGAAAGCTACAAGCTCTGGGACCAGAAAGTCATCAGGTTATTCTCATTAAGTTTGTTTTACAGTTTAAAATCTAGTTTTATTTAAAAATGAACCCATTGGTGGGACAAACTGAGCTTACCAGTGGGCCTGACTTGACCCCCAGGTTGCCTAGCCCTGGCCTAGGCCACAGTAAACCTGGGGTATATTCTAGCCTAGGCCACTTCAACTCCAGGTGTAATCTGGACTGGTGGGTATGAATGGGCTTAGACCATAGTTTACCTAGGGTATAATCTAGCCTAGGCCCCTTTAACCCCTGGTATAATCTGGCCTGAGGGGTAAAGATTAGCCTAGACCATAGTATATCTAGGGTATAATCTAATTTAGGCCTGTTTATCTCCAGGTATATTCTGTCCTGAGGAGTATGAATTGGTGTAGGCTAGAGTATACAGAATATAATCTAGCCAATGCTCTTTTAACCACAGGTACAATCTTGACTGGTGGGTTTGAATAGGTCTAGGGACCTTTAACCCCAGGTATAATTTGGACTGAGAAGTCTGAATTGGCCTTAGACCATAGTACAGTTTAGGCCTCTTTAACCCCTTGTATAATCTGGCCTGAAGTGGCACAAATTGACCAAGACCATAGTATACCTTTGGTATATTCTAGCCTAGGCCTCTTTAACACCAGGTATAATCTGGCCTGAGGTGTATAAATTGGCCTAGGCCATAGTAAACCTATGGTATAATCTAGCCTAGGCCTCTTTAACCCCTGGTATAATCTAGCCTGAGGGTATAAATAAGCCTAGGCCGTAGTAAACCTGTGGTATAATCTAGCCTAGGCCTCTTTAACCCCTGGTATAATCTGGCCTGAGGGTATAAATAAACCTAGGCCATAGTAAACCTGTGGTATATTCTAGCCTAGGTCCTAGTAAATCTGTGGTAAATTCTAGCCTAGGCCACTTTAAGCCCTTGTAAAATCTGGCCTGAGGGTATAAATAAGCCTAGGCCATAGTAAACCTGTGGTATATTCTAGCCTAGGCCACTTTAACCCCTAATATAATCTGGCCTGAGGGTATAAATAAGCTTAGGCTGTAGTAAACCTATGGTATATTCTAGCATAGGCCCCTTTAACCCCTGGTATAATCTGGCCTGAGGGTATAAATAAGCCTAGGCCGTAGTAAACCTGTGGTATAATCTAGCCTAAGCCTCTTTAACACCAGGTATAATATGGCCTGAGGGTATAAATTGGTCTAAGCTGTAGTAAGCCTGTGGTATAATCTAGCCTAGACCCTTTTAACCCCTGGTATAATCTGGCCTGAGGGTATAAATAAGCCTAGGTCATAGTAAACCTGTGGTATATTCTAGCCTAGGTCGTAGTAAACATGTGGTATATTCTAGCCTAGACCCCTTTAATCCCTGGTATAATCTGGCCTGAGGGTATAAATAAGCCTAGGCCGTATTAAACCTGTGGTATATCCTAGCCTAGGCCCCTTTAACCCCTGGTATAATCTAGCCTAAGGGCATAAATAAGTGTAGGCCATAGTAAACCTCTGGTATATTCTAGCCTAGGCCCCTTTAACCCCTGATATAATCTGGCCTGAGGGTATAAATAAGCCTAGGCTGTAGTAAACATGTGGTATATTCTAGCTTAGGCCCCTTTAACCCCTGGTATAATCTGGCCTGAGGGTATAAATAAGCCTAGGCCATAGTAAACATGTGGTATATTCTAGGCTAGGCCCCTTCAACCCCTGATATTATCTGGCCTGAGGGTATAAATAAGCCTAGGCTGTAGTAAACCTTTGGTATATTCTAGCCTAAGCCTCTTTAACACCAGGTATAATCTGGCCTGACAGTATAAATAAACCTAGGTTCTAGTAAACCTGTGGTATAATCTAGCCTAGGCCCTTTTAACCCCTGGTATAATCTGGCCTGAGGGTATAAATAGACGTAGGTCATAGTAAACCTGTGGTATAATCTAGCCTAGGCCCCTTCAACCACAGGTTTAGTCCAGACTGGGGTATATTATGGCCTGTTACACCTGTTATGGATGGACTGTGTTCAGATTGTCATGTGTGTGTGGTTAAAAGTGTCCAGACCTTCTTGGAAGGGGGGTCTGTGGGACCAGTGCACATTGAGGCAGTTCAGACCTGGATCTGGTTCTAATCTGATCACTAAGAACCTTTTTACTGAAAGGCGTGAACAGCCTCTAAAATGCCCTCTAGCATTTTAATCCTGCTTTGTTTTAATATGAAACACCGTACAAAACAGAGATGTGAAGGAAGAGAATCAACTTCCTGTTTGCTGAAGCATCCACACCAAAACAAAAGATGCTTTAAGACCACTGAGGTTCAACTCAACCATATCTGCCTCAGAAGCAGTTCTGAGAAACCCGTGTGGACCCAAAACTCCAGTCTTCTGTTCAGGACAGCTCAATCTTGTCTGCTGCCTCAGCGTGATGGCCCCCTCCCACCTCGGAGCCCCCGGGCGCTAACAACGTCCTGCGGTTGTAATGGTGGTGGCCCTTCATGATGCCCGGGTTGTTGTTCTCGTTCAGAATCTGCTTCTGTTTCTGCCGGTTGAGCGACTGCACCAGGCCCAGCACCACGGCAGCTAGCGAGTACTGGCCCGTGATCTTGCGCGGCTGCAGGATGAGCGGGTTGGGCTGTACGCGGCCCAGCAGGAAGTGTGTTCGGATTTTGCCCTCCTGCTCACTGATGCCCTTCACGTAGATCTCGCCACGGTACTCGAAGGCGAAGCCGCGCTCCTTCAGGATCAGGTAGGTCTCTTCGGGCACCTGGATCTTCCCGCTCACACCAGTACTGTCCATCCGACTGGCCAGGTTCACTGTCTTCCCCCAGATGTCGTACTGCGGCTTCTTGGCGCCGATCACACCTGCCACCACCGAGCCGTGAGCCATACCTGTAAACACAAGACGTACGGCACATTGTAGCCCCATCCAAAACTCTGATACAGCAAACTGGCAAACGCCTGGACAAGCAAAGGCTATGTTTAACCTTTGACCTTGATTTATGACCTTGACTTTGAAGCTGGGGAGATAAAAACTGCATGTGACACCCCGTCCAGTGTCCTGTTTTACATCTGATCTATGCATGCAGTGATACATACCACGTCATCTAAAGGTAAAATATTTATCACCTGCAGCCAAGATAGGCGGGCGATAGTGTCTTTGTGTGCATATGTGTGTTCATTTGTTTGTCTGTTAGCAAAATATCTCACAAACCACTGGACTCATTTAAATGAAACAGAAAGGCATTGTTGGAAGATAATCACTACTGAAATACAAAAGTGGCTACAACTCAGTAAATGTGACAGATACTAAGATAGATTTTGGTGTGGTAGTAGCTGAGCCTGACGTCTATCACACAGTCTGAGCAGTAACGGATCACATGAGATCTGTTTGACATCCTGCAGAGACGACGCGGCGCTCTCACCGATCCGCAGCTCGAAGTTGTTGAATGAGTGCTTGTTGATCTCCTGGATGCTCTCGTTGAGGGCGATGGCGAAGTCTGCCAGTGCACACAGGTGACCCCATTTATCTTCACACTGCTGTGGGGGGCAGAGAGCAAGAGGAGGGTCAGCAGAGCGGGGGGTCAAAGGTGAGATGAACTGGGTCAGCGAGCAGCAGAACTGTTCAGTGATCATGCAGCGCTGAGGACACAGGATCTGTGGTGGCGTGTGGGACTCTGAGTTCCAGTTGTACATTTGTACAAATACATAAAATACTCTGAGTCATCTTCAATATGTTATTATTCAAATGTGCTGAGTCATCTGTTATTCAAATGTGCTGCAACCACATCTGTGATTTTGGTGTATTTTACCTGAGACAGTCCAGTGTTCCTTCAAAACACAAGCTCTGGTCCTTTACATGGTGTAAAGTGAGCTTTTACTACCAGAATGTAGTAAAAAGAAGTACAATATAGATAAAGAAGTACTTTATCCATTATTTATTGTGAACATTGTTTGATAGTAATAGATATTAAAGCCCAATAAGTATTGCATAACTACTGGATAAGTAGCTGTTCCTAACCAGTTATCCAGATACATGCAGTTTCATACTTACATGCACAGTACTTACCCCTTATGTACATAAGTACTTATGTAAATATTTACTAAGTACATACCAAATATAAACCTATTATGAATCAAATACTTAACAGAAAATGTACCTGGTACTTACCAGAAATATTCTTGGTGTTTACCTGGCAAAGTACCTGGTACTTAACAGATAATGTACTTGGCACATGCTGGAAGCAGACAGTATAATGAAGTGACATTACCCTGTACTAACTGGGAATGTACTCTGAAGGTACTAAGTACTGGGCTGTCTTTGCCGTGACAGATTTCCTGAGGCGTCGTTTGTGAGGAGTTGAAACCGTCCCTGAAGGTCTCACCTGTTTCTCAGGCGACAGACCGGAGACTGCCATGTAGGTGCTACCGATGGTCTTGATCTTCTCGATGTCCTGGAAACGGTCCTCACCCAGCAGCTGGGACAGACAAACAAAACAGGTTGTGAAGTCAGCTGTTACTAAAGCTTTTGATTGGGAATCTCACTTTTTGGCATCCATAAAAATGAACTTTGTAGTAAACTGTCTCCTGAAATGTATTTTTTCATCTTCCAGCTTCTCCTTCTTCAGGGGTCACCACAGTGAACCAAGTCGCACGAAGACTTGGAAATTGTTGTTACACAAGATGTCCTTCCTGACAACCACAGACACCGAGCTACCACAGCCCTCTGTGTGGAGCAGAGAGCTGCATCTAGGGTGCCTGGGGGAGCAGAGGGTGGGGGTTAAGTGCCTTGCTCAAGGGCACAGAGTGGGGCAAAGGAGGGTGGAGACAGGTGTGGGTGCTTCACCCACATTTAGATGTTGTTGGTACCAGGAGTTGACCCGGTAACCTTCCGATCACAGGCCCACCATCTCTAATCTCTGTGCCACCCCCCCCCCATAAACTGTCTCCTGAAAATAAATAAATAAATGAATGGATGGATGGATGGATGGACAGACGGACGGACGGATGGATGATGGATGAATGGAATCGTGAAGCTCCTGAGGTTTCTGACCTCATTCAAGCAGAAACACAGTTCAGTTCAGGTGAAGATCAGAACCAAAAGTTTCTTCAAATTTTAGTGGGGTCTCAAAGAACCAGAACTTTTGCCTGAAGCCTGAGTCACTGCTGAGAATTCACTCCCTTTACAGAGAAATAAATTTAAGTAAAGGTTAAATCTTGTATTAAACTTTACTGATAAAACATTTCAAGTTGCTTTAAAAACATAAACATAAATAAATAAAACCACATTTAAAAAAGCTAAAAGTTCTGACAAACCATGAAAACTTTGTGTGATCCTGGACCCTGACCTGACTCTGACCTGACTCTGACCTGAGCCTGACATGAGTCTGACCTGACTATTACCTGAGATTGACCTGATTTTGACCTGAGTGTGACCTGAACCTGACCTGAGTCTGACCTGAGTCTGACCTCAGCCTGACCTGACTCTGACCCAAGTCTGACCTGAGTCTGACCTCAGTCTGACCTGAGTCTGGCCTCAGTCTGACCTGACTCTGACCTGAATCTGACCTGAGTCTGACCTGAGTCTGACCTGAACCTGACCTGAGCCTGACCTGAGTCTGACCTAAAATTGACCTGACTCTGACCTGAGCTTGACCTGAGCTTGACCTGACTCTGACTTGATTCTGACCTGAGCTTGACCTGACTCTGACCTGACTCTGACCTGACTCTGATCTGAGATTGACCTGAGCTTGACCTGACTTTGACCTGAGTGTGACCTGAGTGTGACCTGTACCTGACCTGAGTCTGACCTGAGCCTGACATGACTATTACCTGAGATTGACCTGATTTTGACCTGAGTGTGACCTGA